GGCCCCGCCCCTCCTGGCCTCCTGAGTTTCCCCTCCGGCCCCGCCCCATCGCTCTCTAGGCCCCGCCCTGCCCCTTGGCTCTCCACGCTCCGCCCCCGGCTTCCATCGGAACGGCCGTCACGTGACGTCCTGGGGGGCGTGGTGACGTCGCGGCGACGCCACGTGACGTCGGGGCGGGGCCGGGCGGCGCTGACAGGAGGCTCTGACAGGCGGCGCGGCAGCTACCTCGCTCGCAGCTCCTGGCTGCTCGGCCCCTGACTGCAGTCGGAACCCCTGCCGCGGGTCCCCGCGGGCGGCCGAGGGAGCAGCGGAGGCGGAGGCGGAGGCGGAGGCGGAGGCGAAGCGAGCGGCGGCAGGTGGGATTGCGCGGGGGGCGGGCGGGGGCGCGCGGAAGCAGGAAGGAGGGCCCGCTTCCGGTGGCGACTTCCTGGTCGCGGCGGGGGCGGTGGAGGCGGCGGGGCGGTGGGTCGTGGACGCGGGGGAGGGGACGCCCACGCGTGTGACAGGTGACGCGGCCCCGAGGGGCGGGCCGGCGATCCCGGGGGTCCCGGGGGCGGGGACCCTGCGAGGGCCCCGGGCCGCACCGGTCCTCCCGGAGCTCTCCCCGTGACCTGGCTTTAACCCCCCCCTCCCCTTGGGTCTGGACCGTTGCGGGAGCTGCTGGGGGGGCTGCCCGCGATCTCTCTCCCTCGGTCCGCCCCCCAGGCACGCCCCAAAGCGATCATCCTGAAGCTTGGGTCGGACCCTGTGTCACCCACCCCCCCAGATTCCAGGGGCTCCTTCAGCTTCATATCTAAGACCCTCTCCCCTTCCCTGCCCCCCACACTCTCTGATCCTGTGACCGCCACGGACAAGACCCTCCATCTGTGGGCGTTCTCTGTGTCCGTCGGTCCCTGCAGCTGACCGTTGACCTCCCCGGCTTGCTTCTCGTCGAGCCGGAGCCCCACCTTGTCTGGGAAGCCTTACCTCTGATTGTCGTTTCCCGTTGATTCCGCAAACAGATGGCTCTGTGGTGTTTGGGCGCACGTTGTCTCCCCGACTAGATCGTGATCCTTGAGCGCACGGACCGCCTTTTGCCTCTTTGTGTCCCAGCGCTTAGTACGGTGCCGGCCACGTTGTAGTCACTTAATAAATATGTGCTGGCTGTTGCTTAGTCTTCAGTAAGTATTTGGGACTAATTTAAGAAGTATTCGTGAGTTAACAACGCCTGGGCCTGAGGTCACGTGGAAGAGAAAGAATGTGGAAAACAAGGTTGGACATCCATGCATTCTGAAGTTATCGGGCCTGGCTGTGCTCTCAAAATATTCCAGTAAAGGAAATCAGCCTCAAATAACAGAATCATAGCAGATAGAAGAACTGTGGTTGTCACTGTAACGCTCTTGCCTTTGTAAACCTAGTAGTGCTAACCATCAGTCAGCAAGGATTTATCAAGGGCCTATGTGTACTGGGCAAGGCGAGGGAACGTTACAGAGACACAAGTCAAAGGTCTTTCTGCCTAGTAGCTTCCCTTCTTTCAACCCATATAAGCATATACAAAATAAATCCATGGCCATTTTTTGAGGAGAGAAGTCCCGGGCATCTGAGGGGACCAGGACAGGCCTTTCGTGAGTTAGTATTAATTTGGCTGTGAAGGGGAGGGATATAAATCTGTGTGCGGGAGTCTAGTACAAGTTACTGTGTTAAGAAATTGAAATAAGCACCTGTGCTTTGTGACAGAAATGAGTGTTAGGGACAAGACGGTGTAGAAGTCACCCTGTTTACCTTGGAAATTCTCAATAAAATTTGTGCTGTAGATCAGGGGAGGAGCCTGTGTATCCCAGTCCATCACATGGCCCAGAGAAATCAGCGGTCAGGAAATGTGTTTGAGCTTTGAAGTAAGTGTGGCCAACAGGCTAGCAGACCCAGCTTACCAGGGTTTTGTCCAGAGTCCCCTTTTCTTGGTGCTGGGGGTGGCCTGGAGGTGACTCATGAAGGTTGGAGCAGTTTTCCAGCAGCTGCCTTCCAAAATACATCATTCTCATTTTGCAGGTGAGGACACTGACGCTTAGGGAGGCACTGTCAGATGTGGGGTTTGAACCTTGCTTCTCTGACCCCATTATGTTCCACGTTGGTGTCTTTCTCTGCCTATCTTCAGCCGTTAGCACACCCGTGCTTCATACTTCTCCCCCCAACTCAGCTGCCACCACCTTTGCTCAGACCCTCAACCTCCAGTGGCTGCCTCACACTTCTCAAAATACAGGCAGGGCATTCGAGGACATCCACAGGACTTTGGCTTTGGCTGTTCCAGCTGTGTAGACCACAGGTTCCTCTTCCCTTCGCGTGGAAGATATGGGGTGGCTTGACTTGGCCTGAGTGGGCTTTGCCTTTTTTTGCTTCTTTGGCAGACACTGATTCCCCTTCCCCTTAATAGCCGCCCCCCCAACTAACACAGACAAATAGCGAGACCTGGCTCAGGTATAAGCTCCCTGAAGGTAGCTCTTGATCCAGCCAGTCAGTCCAAAAGTGTTTCTCAAGCACCTGCTATGTGCCAGGTCCTGGGGGTGAGAGGACAGAGAAGCCAACAGAAAGGAGCTTCCAGACACGAACAGAAAGAGAATCAATACTAATACATTCAGACTGAAGGCTTGGGAGAAGGCACATCAGGAAAGTCTTCCTAGAGAAGGTGGGGCTCGAGCTGCATCCTGAAGGAAGAGAGGGATTCTGGGAGGCAGAGGAGGGAGACACAGCCAGGGCAAAGGCATGGAGGTGGGAGCCCCGAGTATCTGTTTAAGCAGCATCACTGGGTGTGGGAGGGAGGCCCCCAAGCTAGGCTGGGGCCACATCATGAAGGGCTCCCAAAGCTAAGCCCGAGTGCAGATACTGAAGTACGTTGAGTGGGACAGTCACTTGGGCACAGGCCTGAGACGCGCTCTGGACGTGAGAAAGCCCCTTGGGCCACAGTGTGTAGAGTGGCCTGGAGTGGACAGAAGCCAGAGGTCAGGGGACCAATGAGGAGGCTGTTGTAGTGCGCCAGGCAAGAGGTGGTGAGGGTGGTCAAGGGTGGTCATCTTCCCACCTCCTCTCAAGCTAGAATCCATCTTTCCTTGCTTGAATACCCCACTTATTTGTGGACTTTTCAAACCCCTCCTGTTATCTAATTAAACTTCCTGAGGGCAGGGACTCTCAAGTTTATACTCCCAGCCCCAGGTTCTCTCCTCTGGATGCATCCCTTCAACACCTCATATGGGTCCATGCATTTCCCCCCTTAAGCCTGTCCCTCCTCCCACCTTCCCTAATTCTGTCGATTCTACCAGCTTCTTCGCAGTTCCACCAGGCTTGAAATTCCCGAGCTGTTGGGCCTTGCCCTTTTATCTCATCCTGCAGCCTCCAGTCTGTGTGAAGGCCTGGCATCCTGCTTTTCAATATCTCTTACATCTGATCCCTCTCTCCACTCATCTTGACAGTAGGCCCCGCGTCCTGACAGTGTCCTAGTCCAGGGCCTCACTAGGTCTCCTCTGGACCGCTGTAATGTCCAGCTCAGGGGTTCTTCCCAGCATCTTGTTTGTAAATGTGTAAAACACAATATGCAGGGTTATAAAGGAAACCAATTATATTGAAGTAGTTTTAAAACGCCTCCATGGACCCCGGGGGGAGGAGCTCCTGGTCCAGCTGTGCCTGGCACCCACAGTGCAATGGTATGATGCTCACCAAGGGAAGTGCCTCCTTCCTCTGCGTCTGGCACTGTGGGCTCAGCCTCGGGGTTACAAAGTGCTTGCCGTCCATTCTGATGGAGAAGACAACATGTAATGTTTAATGAAATATTGGCTCTCCTCTTAACAAGAACGTGTCCAGCAGCTGCAGCCCGGCTCACTGGCCTGTCCCCAGGAGGCGTGTCTTTTGGCAGGCCCCGGCCACCACCCTCTCCTCCTGCAGTCTGTCAGAGATTCCTGGCCGTCACGCCTGCCGTTCATTTCAGTTCCTGGGGATTGGGTTTGCCTGGGCAAGGTGACATGCATTTATATGAGGACTCTGGCTCTTCTAACATAAAGGGTTTGAAATACGCAGGTGTGCAGCATCTGAATAGTCAGTAAACCATCAGTCCCTTTTCGTTTCTTTCCCTGAACTGTATTTTTCAGCATAGTTTTCATAGCCCTCCCTGTTGGCCTCGTACCTTTCTGAGGTCACAGAGTGGGTATCTGGCTTTGATGTGGAAGGTCTTTTCAATGCCTTTGCGGGGTTTCTCCTCGCCTGTATCTGTGCCAGCTGGAGCCAGCTTCTCATGCGTCAGAAAGGTGAGATGACCAGCTGTCCCACGAAGGATTTGCCTTTTAGGTGCCCAGTAGAGCCGACCCTCTCACCCCCATCACTTGCTTGTCTCAGGACTACCTAGGAGGCTCCCTTCCATTTGGCTTTGGTGTACGATTATAGTGAGATGTCAGTGCAGGGGGAGCTGGGCCTCTACCCGTGTGTTTGGTCTGGAGCCAAAAAGTGCAGATGTAGAGAATCTCCATAAGTCAGTGGATATTGTAGGCTGCCACAGACCTCTGTGAATCTTTGTGCCCATGGCCAGTCAGTATAGAAGAGGAAGGGATCATCCAGGCCTAGTTTCCCTTTATTTCATGGGGTGCAGTCTACCAGTCGTTAATTCATCTGCCCATGGCCAGCCTGCCAGGGATGGTTGGGCCTTTCCCAAGAGTCAATCTGGTCCTCAGCCAGCCCACATGGGCAGTTACCAGTGCCCTCCTGGAAGCCTTTCCAGTTGGGGCTCCTGTGTCCCTGGCATACTCTTCGAGAGCCCAACATGAGCATCAGAGTAGGAGGGTCTTAAAGGGAATTTTTCTTAAGAGGGACATTGGAGTGCAAATAGATGTGACCTCCCTTTGTCCCTATTTCTTCCCCTCGATGGGCATCCACTCTTTTTCTGTTACATGAAAGGACTGGAGCATGTTAGTGAGGCTCCTCGCTGTCACGTGCTAGGCATGGGTCTGTTATGGACCAGAGACTGGCACCTTTGTCAGGGAGCACCCTAGGGCATGGCCTCCTCTATTTCAGGAAAGCTCAGCACAGATGTCCACTCTTGACCCTTTTTGTCTTTTTGAGTGATTTTTTACCCTCTGTCAGAACCTCGCTAGCCCGATCTCAAATTAGTTTTCTTTGGTGATGGGAGTATTGGAGCTCAGGAAACAAACTGTGTGGAGTTCTGGTGAATGGGGGGCTATTTCTTCAAGGCCGAGCTGTTCCATTGTGTTGGGATTTGCGAGTGGAGGAAGATCTTGATTCTCCTTTTAATAGTGTCTTTTTGTCTTCTCTGGATCAGCCTGTTGCTAGTGGAAGCTGGAGTTTGCAGAAAAGAATTACTGTGTTCCCTTTTTCCATG